GTGCGACCATCACAAAGCAAGAGACCCGAGAACTAGAAAGGCGAGGCTCACCACCCATTTATCCCTCCGCCTTTCAGTTAGCCCCACATGTGATTATCGGCCAGGTTGGCACAATTAACTAACTCAATTTCCAATAGAGCTTTCTCTCCAGGAAGCTCAATTTCTATTCCTCTAATGACCTTTTGAAGGAGCCCTAATGGAGTAGTGGTGATGTGTTAGGATGCTGGCAGCAAGGTCAACAGTGTGAAACCACCATCCACTCCTCTGGAGAAAGACAGGGCTTTCGACTCCCACAGAAAATGACAGTCTTGGAATCTCATGAGGGGAGTTCTACCCTGTCCTGGAGGGTTGCTGGGAGTCTTCATCCAATAGATGGCAATGAGTCTGGTTTTGTTTTTCTGATGACCTGGACTGTGAACTGCTAGTTCAGGGGTTCAAATTCACCAGCTGCACCCTGGGAAAGATGAAGTATGATGTTATCTACTCCCATAAAGGCTCACAGGCTTAGAAACCTTATGTTGTTGTCAGGTGCAGTTGAATCATTTTGACGCATACCCATGCTGTGCAAAGAAGAATTAAACACAATTGCGGCCATCCTCATACGTGTAATGTTTGGCCTTATTGTTGCAGCCACTTTGTCAATCCATCTCCTTAAGCGGTTTCTTCTTTTTACTGACCCTCTCTGCTTTACCGAGCATCAGGCCCTTTTCAATGGACTTGTCTGGCCTGATCATGCTCTTGTAAGGAGCACAGGGGTATACTAACCCCAAGACAGATTTGTTTGTGCTCCCGTTGGTCCACAGGACTTCCAATACTCCTTGCCCTCGTTCCAAAGCATCCGTTCTGCTGCTGGCTTCCTGATGCATTGCGCAGCTGTCACACCGTACAAAGCAATGGAAGATACTAAGCGTCGACCACACATACTCCCGTCCTCAAAGTGATGTCTGTGTTCTTACACACTTTAACAAGGTCTTGTGCAATCGATTCGCTCAATGCAATATACCATTTTATTTAATTGTGGCTTCCCTGGGCATTAACTGTGAATCAAGTAAAATGAACAACTTTAATTTTGTCTTAATTCATCATGATGTTGTCTATTGTTCCAGTTGTGAGAATTTTCATTTTTTTTACATTGAGTTGCAATCCGTCCTGAAGACTGAAGTCTTTGATTTTCATCCATAAGTTTTACAAATCCTGCTTGCTTTCAGCAGGTTGTTAATCATATGTTATTAATAAGCTCAAGAAACAAATTGAACAAGAGACACGGCTTTTCTGAATTTAATCCACACAGCATTCTTTTTCTCTCTTTGGATGACTGACTCCTGATTTATGTACCAGTTCCACATAAACACAATCAAATGTTCTGGAATACCAATTCCAATGTTATACATAGTTTTTTATGAACCTCACAGTTCATAATTGATTTTGAGAAGTCAATGAAATAACAGTAAACATCTTTCTGGTATTATTTGATTTTAGTCAAGATCCCTCTGACATTAGTAATGATATTTCTCTTTTAAAAAAAAATCATTTAAAAAAATCATTTTATTGGGGGCTCTTAAAACTCTTATCACAATCCATACACCCATCCACTGTGTCAAGCACATTCGCACATTGGTTGCCATCATCATTTTCAAAACAGTTTCTATCTTCTTGAACCCTTGGAATCAGCTTCTCATTTTTCCCCTCCCTCACCAACCCTTGGTAATTTATAAATTATTATTTTTTTCATGTCTTTCACTGACCACTGTCTCCCTTCACCCACTTTTCTGTTGTTCATTCTCCTGGGGATTATATGTCAATCATTGTGATCAGTTTCCCCTTTCTCCCCCTACCTTCCCCCTACCCTCCTGGTATCACTACTCTCATTATTTTTCCTAAGAGGTTTGTCTGTCCTGGATTCCCTGCGTTGTACCAGTGTACATGCTCTGTACATGCTCTGGTCTAGCTGGTAGACTAGGTAGAATTGGACTCATGATAGTGGAGGGTGGGGGGAGCATTAATTAACTAGAGGGAAGTTGTATGTTTCATAGGTGCTACACTATACTTTGACTGGATCGTCTCTTCCTTGTGAC